TTACTATTTTAAAGCTCTAATACCACAATTGATATTAATAATAAAAAGAATGTGAAATAGCCTCCTTACCTTGAATATTTATTTACTTGGACAAATAAAAATTAAGAGCTGAAATCAAGGTAAAGTTAAATGCCAAAAGGAATAGAAAACTAAATCACATCCAGTGTCGTTGATCCTGCAAGCTAACTCATTATCTTTGGGAAAAAGAAAAGGCTGAGCAATGTGCTCAATTAATATTTAACAAAGGTGACAAGAGCATACAGTGGAGTAAAGACAGCCTCTTTAATAAATGGTGTTGGGCCCTGGCCGGTTTGGCTCAGCGGTTAGAGCGTCCGCCTGCGGTCCAGAGACCCGGGTTCGGTTCCCGCTAAGGGCATGTACTTCGGCTGCAGTTTGTCCCCGGCCCTGGTTGGTCATGCGGGTGGCAGCCACTCGATGTGTCCCTTTCGCATCGATGTTTCTCTCTCTCTCTCTTCCTCTCTCTCCCTCCCACTCCATCTGTACAAAAAATGGAAAAATGTCCTCGGGTGAGGATAAAAATAAATAAAAATAAATAAATAAATGGTGTTGGGAAAATTGGACAGCTACATGCAAAAACAATGAAACTAGATCATCAACTTACACCATACACAAAAATAAACTCAAAATGGATAAAAGACTTAAATGTGACCCATGAATCCATAAAAATTCTAGAAGAACATGTAGGCAACAAAATTTCAGACATCATACGCAGCAGAATTTTCACTGATACATCACCTAAGGCAACAGAAACACAGGAAAAAATGAACACATGGGACTACATCAAACTCAAAAGCTTCTGCACAGCAAAAGAAACAATCATCAAAATGGAAAGGCAACCCACTGTATGGGAGAACATCATTGCCAATGATATATCAGATAAGGGGTTAATTTCTAATATAGAGTGCTCATACAACTCAACAAAAGGAAGACAAAGAACCCAATTAAAAAATGGGCAGAGGAGCTGAACAGACACCTCTCCAAGCAGGACATACAAATGGCCAAGAGACATATGAAGAAATGCTCAACATCACTAATCATCAGAGAGATGCAAATTAAAACAACATTAAGGTATCACCTCACACCTGTCAGAATGGCCGCCATCAACAAATCATCAAACAACAAGTGTTGGCGAGGGTGTGGAGAAAAGGGGACTCTAGTACACTGCTGGTGGGAATGCAGACTGGTGCAGCCACTATGGAAAACACTACGGTGTTACCTCAAAAAACTAAAAATTGAACTTCCATTTGACCCAGTGATCCCGCTTCTAGGAATATACACTAAGAAGCCTGAAACACCAATCAAAAAGAATATATGTACCCCCATGTTTGTAGCAGCACTATTTACAATAGCTAAGATCTGGAAACAGCCCAAGTGTCCATCAGTAGACGAATGGATAAAAAAGCAGTGGTACATATACACAATGGAGTACTACGCAGCTATAAGAAAGATCTCTTATCCTTTGAGACGACATGGAGGGACCTGGAAAGTATTAACCTAAGTGAAACAAGCCAAACAGAGAAAGACAAGTATCATATGATCTCACTTATTTGTGGAATATAATGAACATAACAGTCTGAGGAATGGGGTAGTCCCAGAGACGTGGAAGTGGGATACAGACTGACAGTCCCCAGAGGAGGGGGTGGTAGGGGAGAGATAAACCACAGAACTTATATGCATGTATTCATGAACAATGGACATGGACAACAAAGCTGGGGACAGGGCAGGGAGGGAGGGGGAAGGGGGAAAAGGAGAAACATCTGTAACAAAAATAAATTAATTAATAAAAAAATTTAAAAAAAAAAGAAAAGGCTGACATAAAGGAAAATATCTGAAAGACTGTAACACGTAAAGTGGGCAAATACAATTATATGATGAGGAAGAAATGAAAGTGGAAAAAAAGAGCAGAATATGTTTAAACTACTATACATACAAGTAGATAACAGAGAAACAAGAAAGAGAAGATGCGATTAAAGAAAAAAAAAACAGAACAAACATAGTGGAAGGCACTTATAGGAAGTATAAAGCAAAGAGAAAAATTTAATTAAAATATGATGTGATGATAAAGATGAGTTTGAAATCTTTCAAATTACTCTTTTCCTCTCCTTCCTTTCCCAAAAGGCCTGTTTAATTTTGAGAGAACATAGGGAAAATGTTTCAAGATTTCATTATGTATCTGTGAAGAACCTACTCCAAACATAAATAATATTTGAAACGTTAAAGAAGCAAAAGAAACAGAAACCGCAGTTGGAGAAACTACATACACTGGATAGAGAAGGTAAATCTTCAAAAAGATTAATAAAATTACAGAATAACATACAAATTAAATAGATGATAATTCTGTTGGCAGAAAGGAAGGAGGCCAAGGAATTCATAGTCCAACTAGTGAAGGAAGACTATAGCTTAGAGACTAAGGAGAGTCTGAAATACCAGCAGAGGAAGTTGGAAAAGGAATCAAATAAGGATGAGTAAAATTGTGGGCAAGTAAGCCTTGGCCAGTGTGGCTCATTTGGTTGGAATGCTGTCTTCTGCACTGAAGAGCTGCAGGTTTAATTCCCAGACAGGGCACATATCCAGGATATGGGTTTGATCCCTGGTCAGGGCATGTACAGGAGGCAACTGAAAGACGTTTCTCTCACACATCAATGTTTCTCTCTCCCCCCACCCCGTCCCTTTCTCTCTCTCTCAAATTAATTTAAAAGAAAAACATATCCTACCCTGGCCGGTTTGGCTCAGCGGTTACAGCGTTGGCCCATGGATCAAAGAGTCACAGGTTCGATTCCAGCCAAGGGCACATACATCGGTTGCAGTTCGTCCCCAGCCCTTGTTGGGGTCCTGCGGGAGGCAGCCAGCTGATGTGTTTCTCTCACATCGATGTTGCCCTCTCTCCCTCCCACTCTATCTGAAGATATGTGAAATAATGTCCTCAGGTGAAGATTAAAAACACATATCCTCGAGTAAGGATTAAAAAAGAAAATGTGGGCAAGCATCATTAATAAATTTATGATTTAGCAAGCAGCTAAAATCATAAATGTTTCCCATCTAGAATAATTATGCTATTTTCTGTAGTAATAGAGGGTCAGAAAAAAAACAAGCATTTAGACAGATTGTCATAGCTGATGGAGGAAAAAGTCAAAATGGTTATGACTTTCCAGTACCTTACTAGGGATGAGAATATTATTATTTTTTTTTTTTTTTTTTTTTTTTTTTTTTTTTTTTTTTTATCCTCACCCGAGGATATTTTTTCCATTTTTGGTACAGATAGAATGGGAGGGAGAGAGAGGAAGGGAGAGAGAGTGAGAAACATCGACGTGAAGGGACACATCGAGCGGCTGCCACCCGCACGACCAACCAGGGCCGGGGACAAACTGCAACCAAGGTACATGCCCTTAGCGGGAACCGAACCCGGGTCTCTCCAGACCGCAGGCCGACGCTCTAACCGCTGAGCCAAACCGGCCAGGGCGAGAATATTATTATTGACAATAGATTTCTGGCTGTAGAAAGAAGAATAAAACCAGAAGGAAGCTGCTAAGCTAAAAAAAAAATAGGCAAAAAATTGAGAGACTAGTCTAATTACAGTCAAAAATAAACTATGAGCCCTGGTCAGTTTGGCTCAGCGGTTAGAGCATCGGCCTGCGGTCCTGAGAGACCCGGGTTCGGTTTCCGCTAGGGGCATGTACCTTGGTTGCAGTTTGTCCCCGGCTCTGGTCAGTCGTGCGGGTGGCTGCCACTCGATGTGTTCCTTTCGCATCGATGTTTCTCTCTCTCTCTGTTCCTCTCTCTCCCTCCCACTCTACCTGAACAAAAAATGGAAAAATGTCCTCGGGTGAGGGTAAAAAAATAAATAAATAAATAAACAAACAAACAAACTATGAGAATTCAAGAGACATATAATCAAAGAAATGAATTTCTGTGGTATTTCATTCAAGTGTTTTCATGATTAGATGACTGTGGATTTATAGACAATAGTAGAAATTAAAAGGTGATGTCCAAATACATTTTCTACTCTTAAAACACAGAAAAAGAACTCTCCCAACAGATCACCATTGTATAAAGACCATAGTAGAGGATAAAATCCATAATGATAAATCTGGAGTCTTATCAAATTGAAGTCATTATTTCAAGATTTAAAAAAAAAAATACCTAAAATATTTTTTTTTAATTTATTTTTGTTAAAGATGTTTTTCTTTTTTTCCCCCATTGACACCCTCCTCCCAGTCCCACCCTCGCCCCCAGCATTACTGTCTATGTCCTTGTTTATGTATACATGCGTATAAATTCTGTGGTTTATATCTTCCCTCCACCCACATTCACCTCTTCTGAGGTTTGTCAGTCTGTACCCCACTTCCATGTCTCTGGGTCTATTTTGTTCCTCAGCTTCTTTTGTTCATTATATATCACAAAAAAGTGAGATCATGTGATACTTGACTTTCTCTGACTGGCTTATTTCGCTTAGCATAATATTCTCCAGGTCCCTCCATGTCGTCTCAAAGGATAAGAGATCTTTCTTTCTTATGGCCACACAGTATTCCATTGTGTATATGTACTAAAATATTTCTTAATCATTACAAAAATACCTATATTTTTCTTAATTACTCACTACCAATATCCACACTGCAATTTTCATAAAAAGATAGTGATGCTTCAGTAGGCCATACACACAAAGGTGTTACTGCATTAAATGACTGGTTGATATCAGAATATAGGACTTCCACTTCAATCACAGTTGGTTAACTTATAGTTCAAATAGAATTGGCTGAATCATATCAACAAAGTAGCACTGGCATGGATTGGTAAGGAAATTGCCTCATTGCACTATAGATCTATTATTCATTAAACTGAGGCTTTGGTTGTGAAACTATTTTCTAATCTGATTAATAGCTCAAGAAAGAAAACAGCTCAAGCTTCATTTGTCTCCACATAGTTTTAACTATTTATATGCCTTTTTTCAAAAAGCTACTTGATAAAAATTAAATACTTACTAATATCATCTTCATGATAAATAACAGAGTGAAAAGGCAGAGTTCGGTCTTTAATATATCTCTCTGCTGGCTCAACATAAAATGTGCCACCATGAGTCTGGATGAATCCTTCAAATCTTCCATCAATAACAGAACCATGGCTAAAACTTCCTTCTTCACCTATTAATGAAAGCAACAAACTCTTGAAAATTTAATTTGCATGTGAATGTTAAATTAATTTTTCTTTAAAAAGTTGTTACATATATTTTTAAAAACCTAAATATAAATTCACTGGGAAAATTAATTTCAACATTAAACATATCAACCTGAGTTTAAGATGTGAACAGCAATTAGTACTTAGTTCAAACATACACAATTACTAGCAACAACAATGAAATAGACATCTGTCTTATTGACAATCATATTCCCAGCATCTAGCATATTGTCTGGTATGTAAGTAGTACTTACAATAAATAATTGTTAAATTAACTTAAACTTAGAAAGAGGCAACAGACCCATTGATGAAATAAACACTTTCAAAATAAAGATATTAAAGTTTCTTTTGAAATTTTACTCTAATTACTGTAAAAAAAAAAAGTTCCTTTCCAACCTGATATATTCTGTAGAAGACTTGTTTGTGGCTTCCTTACCACCTTTAAGTTTTATAAATATATTTTTAAATAAGATAGTGTCAAATATTTCAAAAGCAATCTGAACAAAAGTATACCAACAATCTCTTTGATGATACTGGACACAGATTTATAATACTGCCCCATCAATTTCTCTAGTGGAAGAACATAACAAAAAAAGATATTTGGGTTCTTAATTTAGTCAAAAAGAAAAGCTGAGCACTAAACATCAAACAATTTGAAGAGATGGAAGACAGAATGAGGGGGCTTTAAAAGTTAAATTTAGCCCAGCTGGTGTGGCTCAGTGGATTGAGCATCATCCCATGGATTGAGAGGTCCCGGTTCACTTCCTGGTCAGGGCACATGCCAGGGATTCCCAGAAGGGTGCGTGCAGGAGGCAGCCGATCAATGTTTCTCTCTCTCTCTCCCTTCCACTCTCTTGAAAAAAAAAAAATTGCCCTGGCCGGTTTGGCTCAGCAGTTAGAGCGTCGACCTGCGGTCCAGAGACACCCGGGTTCAGTTCCCACTAAGGGCATGTACCTCAGTTGCAGTTTGTCCCCAACCCTGGTTGGGATGTGCGGGTGGCAGCCACTCGATGAGTACCTTTCATGTCGATGTTTCTTTCTCTCTCTCTCTCTCTCTCTCTCTCTCTCTCTCTCTCTCTTCCTCTCTCTCCCTCCAGCTCTATCTGAACAAAAAATTTAAAAATGTCCTCAAGTGAGGATTAAAAAAAAAAAAAAAAAAATCAATAAAAATATTTTTTTTTAATTTATGAAAAAAGCTAAATTTACTTACAATTTTCTCATTAAAACAGAAATCAGGCTTTCCACAATTTCTAAGTTGTAGATTAAAATTAATTAGTTGACTCTGAAGTAATCATGAACTGAAGCTAAGAGCCCAAGACACTGGTATTTTAAATTACATGTTTTTTAGCTGCAAACTCAGTCTTATACTTGCCTTGACCATTGCCTAGCAAAATAAAGGCAAGGACTACAAGTCACTTGTCCAGAAAGATAAATAATAAAAATTTTTTAAAAACAGAAAACTGCTATCTAACATTAAAAACCTAGACTGATAAAAAAACATTTTCCTTTGGTCACCTAACAGTAAGAATACAAGAAAGCTGTTATTTAACTAGTTTAATCTACAAGTGAGGAACTTTAGTATCCCAAGAGGTTACCGTTTCGATTCCCAGTCAGGGCACATGCCCAGGTTGTGGGCCTGATCCCCAGTGGGGGGGCATGCAGGAAAGGGAAAAGTGATGTTCTCTCTCAATGTTTCTAGCTCTCTCTCCCTCTCCTCCCACCTCTAATATTAATAAAGAAAAAAACTATTAAAAAAAAAAAAAGAAATGCCTCATTCATAATGGCATAATGAAAAAACAACAACATTTCTTTAAGCATTTAACTTTTCATGTTATAATTTTGGGTGGAAATCTCTCTGATATGTAGAAATAAAATTTAACTTTCAACTCTGTCTTAATAACCAAGGATTACCTTGCATATTTATTAATGCACAGAGTTATAACAATGATATTTTGCACTTCTCTAATATCTCCAGAAGACTGAATTTTTAGCTTTTTTATGACTTCTATAATTATTCTGTTCTTCCTAAACTATTAAGCTGTCAAATGTAACTTTCTATTGGGTTAAATGTATGTGTTCCCTACCTTTCCAATACCTTTATAATCTGGTGTAGTAAGAGAAATGTGTTAGAATTGTAAACAAAAGCAAATAGATTCTGAAGAAGGAAGGCCCTAGGAGGAATTTCCTATCAACGATTGTCATATTATTTTTGGCTGTTAGGATGATCTTCACAGTTTCCTTTTTGATTTTTCCTCTCCTCTTATAAAACAAAGTAAAGTTACTATTAATTTCTTGTTTGGATGATTAGAAAATTATTGACGTCATTAAAGTATTTTTTTAAATCTAACTTTGGAGGTGCTGAGAGAGTCAAATATTCATATCTTTCAGAAGTCAGACACTGCATAATTCAACATTAAACAAAAATGTAAAGATAGATCCAAGATTAATTAATTCTTCAAAGACAATTATACCCTTCATGGTATATTCGAATCTCCTCAGAATTTATCCCATCTTTTCTAAAATATTTGCCTATGATTCAACATGTATATTTCCTTGTGTAAAAAAATATTAAAGAAAAGTGTTCTTTTAAGATTCAACTTACCATAAATATGTCCAGTGTAAATATGAGAGGTATCATAATCAAGTACTTTATTTGATGTTTCTACTTTAAATTCATCACTAAAAAGGGAAGTGTCCCTCTTCATTCGTAGGTTGAAATGTCTGCCAAATGAGATGGGAAAGGAAAAAGGAAATTTAAAGGTTCCAAATTTTAAACAATTATTTTTTTAATAAAAAATCTGCAAAATGTGGACTGTTTCACACAATTTGTCTATTTGGGAAATAAACTGACCAAAATTTTCTTTAAAATTCTGCTCTAAAATTCAACCTAATAGCTGTGACATAATTCTAACTTATATATAATTAAACAGTAATTGTCTAGGATATATTTAAAAATAAATGCCAACTGGCTGATTCCTACATGGTAAAACAAGATCATTCCAACAGCAACTACTTTGCTTGGAAATAAAAAACAAACCTCTGGACCCAATTACTATTACTACTACCTGTCTTCCCTCTCTAATAATTTGCAGCTTTGACATTTCCCCTTTTCACAGTTCAAATAATACATAGGAAACGCATCTATTTTAGCTACTTAACATCCCAATGATATATGCTCTTTCATTTACAAACACACACACATTTCAACCCTTTATTTTTCCCAGAGGCTTCTAACTCTTCTAATTATCTTTGGACCTTCCTCAGTTCAATTTGGGAACCCTAAAAGACCATGATATTAGCTGACATATACTCATTCTAACCCTATAAAAGAGAGAAAGACCAAAATGTTGAAGTGAAATTAAATAAAGAATCTAGGGTTTAGAATCAAACTTAGAATCAAATCTTAAGCCTAAAATTTACTAATCCAGGACTCCTGCGTGTGAAATGAAGATAATACATTCTATGTATGCAAAGTCATAAACACAGTATCTGGCACACAGGAAATATACAATAAATGGTAACGAATGAGCTATCATAATTAAACTTTAAAGTATATCAAGTCCCGCCCTGGCCGGTTTGGCTCAGCAGTTACAGCGTCGGCCTGCGGTCCAGAGAGACCCAGGTTCGGTTCCCGCTAAGGGCACGTACCTCGGTTGCAGTTTGTCCCTGGCCCTGGTTGGGTTGTGCGGGTGGCAACCATCCCTTTCACATCGATGTTTCTCTCTCTCTCTGATGTTTCTCTCTCTCTCTCTCTCTTCCTCGCTCTCCCTCCCACTCTATCGAACAAAAAATGAAAAAATGTCCACGGGTGAGGATAATAAAATAAATAAATAAAGTATATCAAGTCCCTTTTATAATTTCTATAAAATCCTGCACATAACACAATTTCTATCGATAAACCTGACCCGTTTTCAATTAGCCAACCTTCAAATGTTAGGAAGATGTGGAGTACTGGAACTCTCACAAATTGCTCGTGGAAGTACAAAATGCTACAATTACTTTGGAAAACTGGCAGTTTTTTTATAAAGTTTAAATATACAAAAATCCTATGACTTACAATTACACTTCAAAAGAAATGAAAACATAAAACATATGCCCAAACAAGTAACTGGACACAAATGTCCATAGAAGCTTTATTCACAATAGCCCAAAACTAGAAATAACCAAAATGTCTATCAACAAGAAAAGAGATAAAAAGATCATGGCTTATTCATACAATGGCAAACTACCAACAATTAAAAAAGATCATATACCCTTGACCGGTTTGTCTCAGTGGGTAGAGCACTGGCCCATGCACCAAAGGGTCTTGGGTTGGATTCCCAGCCAAGGCACATACCTGGGTTGCAGGTTCAATCCCGGGTCAGGTTGGGGTCGTGCGGGAGGGAACCAATCGCTGTTTCCCCGTCTCTCTGTCTTTCTACCTCCTTCCTTTCCTCCCTCCCTCCCACCCTATCCAAAAAATCAACTGAAAAATAATCTCAGGTAAGGATTAACACAAAAAAATAAAAAGATCATACTACTGCACTTTTGTGAAGATATAAAGAAGACAAACAGTATAATTCCATACATATGTAAGTTTAAAATAGGTAAAACCTATCTATAGTGACAAAAAGCAGATAGTAATTGCCGGGGTGAGAGAGACTAAAGAGCAAAGAGGTACGAAGGAATTTATTGCTACAATGGAAACATTCCATATGTTGATTTCAATGAGAAATTATCATATTTTATGTAAATTATACTTCAATAAAGTTGATATTAAATGAAATAAAAACAAAACTAATATTTAAGTGAATAGGGGTTAGCAGGACACACTCATTAGGTTCAGAAAGTGTATTCCTTTTTTAACATTGTCTATTGTGTATTTTCCCTAATTTCATGTTAATCTTTGGCACCCTTTTATTTTAAGGCTGTACTTATATTCTACTTGCCCAAAACTCTGACCAAAAAACTCCTATGGCTGCCTGGCCAGTGTGGCTCAGCAGTTGAGCGTCAACTCATGCACCAGGAGGTCGCTGGTACGATTCCCAGTCAAGGCACATGCCCTGGTGGTAGACCCAATTCCCAGTGGGGGGCAGGCAGGAGGCAGCCAATGTTCTCTCTCATTGATGTTTCTCTCTCTCTCTCCCTCTCTCTAAAATCAATAAAGAAGAAAAAAACAAAAAATAAAACTCATAGGGCTTCCTCAGGTGCTGTGACAAGGACTCTAGCCTAAGAAGGCATCCTCAGAGCCTTAAGGTTCCAATCTATTGCAACAAATAATCAACAAAGTCAAGCACATCCTCTAAATGAAAACTCCACAAATTTAAAAATAGTCTATCCTGAACAAACAGGAAGCCTGTCTGAATTCTTGTGATACATTCTGTCTTTTCATAGAATTACTTCTGCCAACTATAGAAAATTCTTGATCATATATGTGAGTACAAATACATTATTTTTTAAAGGAGCACAGTATTTTGAAAAATCATTAATTTATCATTAAAAATAATTTTAATTTACTAAATAAATACTACCTCTAAAAGAGCATCTTTGTTAAACAGACTAAATAAAAATTATCCAAGAGCTTAATATATTTATCATTCAGGATCAATTATTCTACAAAGTTGTTATACCCTAAAATCACTATAAGCAACAGCATTAGGGGGAAGGGTAAGAGTTTCAGAAAGACATTAAAGTTCAATATAAGAACAATCTATGCTACACTCTTTAACCTCCCCCAAAATAGTTTCACATCACTTAAAGTATCTAAGCAGACAGCAACCTTAAAGTGAAGTTATAACAGAGAGAATTTAAGAATACTTGAGATAGGCCCCTGCTACTCCTGATATTGATTTCATAATAAGAAAAATGTTTCATATATATAGAACATTATTCTTAGTATTGATTTCAACTGGATTAAAACCATATATAAAAATCAGTTCTTAATGATCCATGTAGAGTCAAGCAGCAATAAAGACAATAAAACAAAATTTTTTTATCATGCCTCCAAAATGAACTGTTTTTATTAATCATATCAAAATTAATTTGCATCTAAAGCATATATCAACAGATGAGGAAATGAAACAGGGGTGAGCCTGGAAGGCAGGTAAATGGTAGAAAAAAGCAGATTGAATTAAAGTCTCACAATATATGAGATAAAAAAAAAAAAAACTACAAATGAATGATCTATTAATTCTATTAATTAAGCCCATAGATTCCAATTCACTACTTTGATTCTACTACCATCGGTGTGATAGTTTGTATCTTCAAACTATTTTAATATTTATATAAATTATAATTTCTTGCCTGACCAGTGTGGCTCAATGAATTGAGCATCGTCCCATGGACTGAGAAGTCCCGGTTCAATACCTGGCCAGGGCACATGCCTGGCTTGCAGGCTCAATTCCCAGTAGGGAGTATGCAAGAGGTAGCCAATGGATGTTTCTTTCTCACATTGATGTTTCTCTCTCTCTCTCCTTTCCTCTCTGTCTAAAAAAATCAACGAAACATTTAAAAATTATAATTTCTTCTCAATATTCCTACTGGATAATAGCAGCTGACTAACAACATTCTGTCTTCCCTGTTTCTCAACAACCCTAAATAAAAAACCATCTGAAAACATAACTTGATTCTTTCATTGTTTAAAACTTTGGGCCCAGAGGTCAGAAAAACCACAGTGAACACTGCCTTATAAAAACCATTGTATTCTGGGAAAACAGTCTGGTGGTTCCTCAAAAAGTTAAAAATAGAATTACCATATGATCCAGCAGTTCGTATTCTAGGTATATGTACTCAAAGAAACTGAAATCAGGAACTCAAAGAGATACTTTACACCACTATTTAAAACAATATTATTCACGATAGCCAAAAGATGGAAATAACTCATATGTCCATCAACAGATGGATAATAGACTACATGTGATAAACACATACAATGGATTATTCGGCCTTAAAAAGGAACAAAATTCTGATTCATGCTACAACATGGATGAAACTTAAAGAACATTACGCTAAGTCAGTCTACCATAAAAAAACAAATATTGTATGATTCCACTTATATGAGGTACTTAGACTAAGCAAAATCATAAAGGTGGAAAGTAGAACAGAGGTTATCAGGAATGGGCTGAAGGGCAGAATGGGGAGTTACTATTTAATGGGTATATAATTTCTACTTGGAATGATGGAAAAAGCTCTAGAAATGGATAGTAGAGACAGTTGCACAACACTGTGAATGTACTTAATGTCACTGAATTGTACACTTAAAAGGGGTTAAAATAGTAAGTTACAAGTTATTTTTACAATAGAAATAAACAAATAAAACTTTTAAATCATTGCATTCAAAACAGATGGAGTATAAAATAAAATTATGTAGGCAGAGATACCTTTCTTAGAGTTGCAAAATTCAAAGAGATTTGGTTAAGATAGTGGTATTATGATGAGAATAATAAAATTATACAACTTTCTTGTCAAAGTGATATAGGTTTATAATTTTTAGCATTTTTACATATATTACTGTATTTTATCCTCACAGCAACACTGCAAAAAAGGCATGACGCATAATTTTATCAAGGTCACAACACTAGAATTAGGACTAGAATTCCAGCATTGGGTTGCTGCATTTTATTTATTCTTTCTACCATACCACAAATGCTTTTCAAAAAAATTAATATATTCTGAGTGTTGTAGTAGTCTTAATGTAATAGTATCAGTCTCCACAAGTCACCTTTTAAAATCTGAACAAAAGA